ACGCCGCTGCTGGTCGTCGACTCCCCCTGGTGGGTCACACAGCTGTGCGCGGCCTAGAGCGGGGACGCTCCCAAGGAGTTCGGCGGGGCCGGCCGAGACGCAGGCATTTTCGAGGCCTTCTGCGCCTGCCTGGGGCTGAGCAGGTGGCGGCCGAAACGTCAGGGACACTCGAGTTCAGACTATGCGGAATCCGTGTTCAGTTTTTAAGTAATTACGAAGTGTATGTAATTGAGACGAGGCTTAGCCTGGTCACCGAGACGATACAGTGGAGGAAGCCTGGCTCCGGTGGCCACTTAGAATAGTCGGGGTGAGTGGGGCCGACGCACATCTGCGCCTCGGTGTCCTGGGGCGCTGTTTAGCTGCTGCTATACCCGCTGCTTAACTCAGCTCCCGGCTGAGCCACAACCGTCCTAGAGCAGCTGCTGTCTGCTGTGGTCCGCGCCGCTGCGAAGTGACTGCCTTCCACCTAATGAGTGGGAGAGACTGAGCAGCCGTTCAGGTGATCGCATTCACACCCCACGGGTGTGTTTCTGAGTTCCCCTCTCGCACAGAGCTAATCAACTTGGAGGCCAAAAGGACCTGGAAGACTTGACCGTTGCCATTCATAAGTCTGTATACACAGGAGAAGTACAGATATTCACCCTTTAGCAAGCCTTTTTGGGTGTACACTGTGCCAGGTACTTTTCTAGGTCATGGGAATGTAGCAGTGAACAAAACAGGAAAAGTTGCTGCTTTTCTGTAGTTTGCATTCTAATGGGTGAAACAGTAAAGGACGTCGAGAGGTGATCACCAATAAAGAAAAGTACGGTCAAGGGGTAGTGATGGACTATGCCATTTAGAAATAAAACGTCGAGAGGTGATCACGAATAAAGAAAAATAAAGTACGGACAAGGGGTAGTGATGGACTATGCCATTTAGAAATAAGTGATAAGGAGAACACTTCTGAGCTGGTGATAATTGAGCAGAGATCGGAATGAAGTGCTAAATGTGGGGTTCCTCAAGAACGAGTTTATGTACGTGTATCATAAGCAACACACACGAAAAATGACTTGTGAATGCTCACAAGGCAACACGTCAACCAGCTCATAACCCTGCACGGTACCTCGGCATTTGAAGCACAGACCAAATAATCATTGACGAAGCACGGGATTGAATACCCAGCAAACCACGCCTACACATCAGATCACAATCAGAATGGAATTTTACTCCGTTCAGCTTCTTTCCCTTCCGATGGGCATAAATCACAAGCCTTCTGCATGGATGGGCATGTGACAAAATAGGAAGTTTTCTTATGGGATGGGTACCCCCTAATTTCTATAAGTGTGTAATTGGGTAGTAGGACGGGTCACAGTCTTTCACAATTGAGGCTAGCTCTGTGGTTATGTTTTTAATTATGTGGAGTTATTTCAGGATACAGTGAGTGTGTGACGGGTTGACTTGTGTCCCCCTCAAATTCCCGTGTTGAAGTGCTAACCCCCAGAACCTCAAAATGTGACCTTATTCGGAAATAGGGGTGTTGCTGATGTGGTTAGGATGAGGTCGAAGTGGAGCAGGATAGACCCCTCACCCACTTTGATCTTAGGAAGAGAATGCCAAGTGAAGGGACAGACTCGTGCCCAGGGAGATGCCACGTGAAGATACGCTGCGGCTGCCACAAGCCGAGTCATGCCAGATCGCTGGCAAGCCACCAGCAGCTAAGGGAGATATGGAATATTCTCCCTGACAGCCCAGAAGGAACCAGCTCTGACATCTTGACCTTGGACTTCAAATACATTTCTGTTGCGTAAGCCACCTAGCTAGTGGCGTTTTGTTACGATAGCCCTATCTATCAGAGGGATACGTGGTAGAAAGGTGGGCTTTCATGCAGACCTGAGTTTTGATCTAGTCTTTGCACCACTGCATGTTACCTTTTTAAATTTTGAAGTTATTTTAACATTCTCACGTTTGGTTACAATTCAATTTAGAATAATTTCTACTTTATAAAATCATCCTGAGGATTTCACAAGTTACCCAACATTGCGAGTGTCTGGCACACAACAGGCCCTCCAAGTGGTGATTCCTTTCCCTTCTTAGTTTTATGATACCTCATTATGCACTCATTTAGAGTGGCCTTTGCAGAACCCTAAATATATCAAAGATACATATTACCTCAATTAACAGTGTTTCTTCCCAAAGTGGGTGCTGGGTTGCAAAATAAAACCACATACTACCATGTGAGTCAACTGCAGACGGTACTGCAGTTCACTAAGCTATCAGCTCCCTGTTTAGCAGACTGCTCTGTGCACATTTGGTGCCAAAGACAACTGCTCTGAATGTTTGCCACAACCTCCACGGGTGAAAGCCTTAGTTTACCTTACAGAATTGTTTCAGGTGATAAGCTTTTATTACACTTGATGCAGAAATAACTTCAAGTTTCATGCTACATACTTTTTGGTATCTGCATTCCCAAACACGTTAAATTTGTTTCTTGTGCGACAACATAGCTGCTTCTGGAATTTGAATGCTGAGCTTTGCTTAAGAGAAGGAGCATGAAAGGTGACCCAAATGGGAGAAGGCTTTCGTGTTTCTGCTTCACTGCGGGTGAGCTGTACACGCCCGTAGGAGCTGGACTTGTCTATCATGCAGCTGTGCCAGCCCAGATCAAAGCAAGAAAGCCACTCAGTCCCACCTTTCGCAGTGAGCAGCTGACTTCGTTTTTCTTATTAGCCAATGGTGAAGAGATACTTCAGAAGGGACACTGGCTGAGTCACCTTCTGCAGATAAGCTGAAATATTAATAGCTGTATCTCGGCCGGGCTCCGAGCTGCAGGCAGCTTTGCTCCCGGCCTCACTCCCAACGTCTGCCCGAGGCCAGGACGTGAGAGCGGCTCTAGGCACGAGTCCAAGGCCCTGCGACACCATGAACGTGAGCGTGCGGGCCGGGGGCGCCCGGGGCCCCTCGCCGCGGTGAGTACGCCATAGCCCAGGGCCTCCCGGGCCGCGCCGGGCGTCTTCTGACGAGGGTCGACGCGGGGCCGAGGGCGAAGGGCCCCCCGGTCACTGGGGTGGAAGAGCACGCCCGCGTCTCCACCTGCGCCGCCACCGGCTTCATGATGCCCTGCTGGCCCAGGCCGAGCCAGCGCGGCGGCAGGGCGAGACTTCCGGTGAGGGGCGAAGGAGGAGCGAGTTACGGCAGGGGCGGAGTCCGAGGCCGGATTTCCGACGAAGGGTACGGCCCACAGGCGACTTCCGGCGGCGTGGGCGGTGCACGAGGCTCAGGGGCACTTCCGGCGGCGCGAGGCGGGGCGGAACTTCCGGCGGCGCGGGCGTCGGGCCTTGCGGAACTTCTGTCGGCCGGGAAATGAGGCTGCCGTGGGCGGGACTTCCGGAGTCCTAGGAGGGATTTCCGGCGGTCTGAGCGCGGGGTGAGACCGGGACTTCCGGCAACGCCGGAAGTACGAGTCGTCAGGCTGCCGGGTGGTGGGGCCGTTTCAGGGCTGAGAGTCACTGGCCTGCGCCTGAGCTGCGTCCCGGGCCCTGCGTGACTGGGAAGGGG